GCTTTTCGCTCCCCTCATAGTTCTAGCCGACCTGTGACAATGAGACTGTGACAGGTCGGCTCAGTAGATCGGGAAGTGAGTGAACACATACCGGCGTTCGCTCACCTCTCGATCCTGTCACAGCTCTCTGCAGTGACAGGGGAGGGCTGACTGGCGGAACGGATGGGGGAGGGGGCGGGTACAGCCTCTAGATAGGCAGAGCCAGCTGTCAGTCACGCAGCTGGCTGCTTCAGCTGCGGCGTCTCAGTATACCGCGAGCTGTAGCTCCCTATATACTGAGGCTACGAGAACTATGGGGGAAAGCCCTTACCCCGTAGTTCTCCTTTAATCCATCAAATGCCAGCCAGTGATATAAAGGGTGAGTAAGACTGCTCCGTCTCCCCACAATCTCCTATCACATGATCTCCCAAAAGAAACGATAAGACCCCATTCACACTCAGCTACATAAGAAAAAGCGCTTTTTCAGCGCTGATGTGAGCTGAGCGACTTTGAGAGACATTGAGCTACAGTGCGCATATTGTCGCGCTACGTAGCTGCTACATTGGGCTGTATCCAATCAAAACCGGTCTTGATGTGACTTGAATCCTCTTCTTGTTTCCTGCTTATACACTGAGTGGCCGGATTATTATATACACCGAGTGGCCGGATTATTTTATACACCGAGTGGCCGGATTATTATATACACTGAGTGGCCGGATTATTATATACACTGAGTGGCCGGATTTTTGGACCCACTGGATCCACTATGAGCCCAAACTCATCCGTAGTCTTCACCCCTCATGCAGTCATTTGTGCTGTCAGTTTGGATGCCGGCAGTATTTAGTATCTGTGCTCTGGCGGGATCCATACCTTGTATATACATTATATACGCTGTATACCGCACCTTTATCCCACTTGTGGATTCCTTCTTCTTCACGTCAGCCACCGCTGCAATTGTTGCAAAATACTGGATGACGCGTTTTGTGTTAACCGTCTTCCCGGCGCCGGATTCTCCGCTGCCAAACACAACAACATCGTATCAGGCCCGGTTCACACCCGGGCGTCTTGTAGCGCGTTCCTACGCTCTGCAAAACGCTCAAATACCGAAATCCCATTATTTCCTATGGGTATGGCTCACACCCGGGCGTATTACAGGCCGTATGAACGCGCTACAAAACGTCCTACGCCCAAAGAAGTACAGGAGCTTCTTTGGGGCGTTTTTGTCACGCGTTTCCATTGGGATACAGCGGTAAAAACGTGCGACAAACGCGCATATTCAGTACGCCTAGGTTTGAACCCAGCCTAAAGGTAAAGCATGAACCTCTTCATGACCGGGCTGTCCCCCACCCACCCCTGTGACCACAGCCAGCCCGGTCAGAGGGCTATAAATGACTTTACATATCGCGGCCTGCATGTCAGATAAAAAATCTTTATAATCTAATAAAAGGTAAAAAAAGGAAATTCCAGAATAATGAAACATTCGAATAATCTTCTATGATATGAATTCAATAATAAAGATACGCACGTGATGAGAATGGACTGGTTCTCGCGATCTGGAGGACAGAAAGGAAGCACAAGTCTGTTATAATGTAACAATGTATCAGAGATTCTATACAATGTAACAATAAAGAAGTTCTTTGTATCTTGTGAACGGATCAGAAAACATCGAGTAGATTTACAGCAGTCACAGGAAGTTCTATTCTTATCTCCCAGAATCCACTGAAGAGGAAATATACATATTTTTTTATTTGTTTTTCTGTTTCATTAATATGTATAAATATCCCAAACTTATATTTCAGTTTTGAATATAGAGAAGGATCCATCTCACAATCTGCGGAAGTTCTCCCTCTCTGTTAATCCAGGTCACTGAGACAGGAAGTAATGGAAAACCCAAAATGTTCCTGAACAGGAAGTGACTATTACTTAGATGAGTTTCCCCATCGGTACCCCTTCTGTGCCCATTATGAGGGGCTCCCCCCATCCCTGTGCTGAGTTCCCGGGTCTGTACCCCTGCTGTGCCCATTATGAGGGGCTCCCCCCATCCCTGTGCTGAGTTCCCGGGTCTGTACCCCTGCTGTGCCCATTATGAGGGGCTCCCCCCATCCCTGTGCTGAGTTCCCGGGTCTGTACCCCTGCTGTGCCCATTATGAGGGGCTCCCCCCATCCCTGTGCTGAGTTCCCGGGTCTGTACCCCTGCTGTGCCCATTATGAGGGGCTCCCCCCATCCCTGTGCTGAGTTCCCGGGTCTGTACCCCTGCTGTGCCCATTATGAGGGGCTCCCCCCATCCCTGTGCTGAGTTCCCGGGTCTGTACCCCTGCTGTGCCCATTATGAGGGGCTCCCCCCATCCCTGTGCTGAGTTCCCGGGTCTGTACCCCTGCTGTGCCCATTATGAGGGGCTCCCCCCATCCCTGTGCTGAGTTCCCGGGTCTGTACCCCTGCTGTGCCCATTATGAGGGGCTCCCCCCATCCCTGTGCTGAGTTCCCGGGTCTGTACCCCTGCTGTGCCCATTATGAGGGGCTCCCCCCATCCCTGTGCTGAGTTCCCGGGTCTGTACCCCTGCTGTGCCCATTATGAGGGGCTCCCCCCATCCCTGTGCTGAGTTCCCGGGTCTGTACCCCTGCTGTGCCCATTATGAGGGGCTCCCCCCATCCCTGTGCTGAGTTCCCGGGTCTGTACCCCTGCTGTGCCCATTATGAGGGGCTCCCCCCATCCCTGTGCTGAGTTCCCGGGTCTGTACCCCTGCTGTGCCCATTATGAGGGGCTCCCCCCATCCCTGTGCTGAGTTCCCGGGTCTGTACCCCTGCTGTGCCCATTATGAGGGGCTCCCCCCATCCCTGTGCTGAGTTCCCGGGTCTGTACCCCTGCTGTGCCCATTATGAGGGGCTCCCCCCATCCCTGTGCTGAGTTCCCGGGTCTGTACCCCTGCTGTGCCCATTATGAGGGGCTCCCCCCATCCCTGTGCTGAGTTCCCGGGTCTGTACCCCTGCTGTGCCCATTATGAGGGGCTCCCCCCATCCCTGTGCTGAGTTCCCGGGTCTGTACCCCTGCTGTGCCCATTATGAGGGGCTCCCCCCATCCCTGTGCTGAGTTCCCGGGTCTGTACCCCTGCTGTGCCCATTATGAGGGGCTCCCCCCATCCCTGTGCTGAGTTCCCGGGTCTGTACCCCTGCTGTGCCCATTATGAGGGGCTCCCCCCATCCCTGTGCTGAGTTCCCGGGTCTGTACCCCTGCTGTGCCCATTATGAGGGGCTCCCCCCATCCCTGTGCTGAGTTCCCGGGTCTGTACCCCTGCTGTGCCCATTATGAGGGGCCCCCACCATCCCTGTGCTGGATTCATTTCTAATGACTCATTTTTGTTTTCTTCTCTGTACTTTGACTCACCGGTCAGCATGAACTGATAGGCGTTGTCGGAGATGGAGAAGATGTGGGGCGGAGCCTCCTGGCGCTTCTTGCCGCGGTAGGCGTTAACCACCTCGGGGTTGTACACGGGAAGCCATTTGTAGGGGTTCACGGTGACACAGAACAGGCCGGAATATGTCTGAAATGAAATATTTGGGATGTCAGTTGGTTGTGTTTCTGATTATAAGTGACTCTGAATATGACTCGGGTTCTCATTGAGGCTTTGAAGATCCTCCAGCTCCTGAGTCGGCTTCACCAGATCGACTACAGAGACCAGAAGAACTGTACAATGTAACACTCAGAACTAAAGGGACACTACACTCCGGAGATAAATCCTAAAACTCCCTCCGAGTCCCGGAACTCTGAGCAACAATGTATCTGATTTGTGTCACTCGCCTGGAGATCCTCCAATCATCTCTGACACTGTCCTTCCTTCTGGAGGCGGGGCTACGTCTGTTCCCCATGGTCCTTGTGTGTGTTGTAGTCACTGTTCCAAACTCCGCCCCCGGGATGGACTACAATCTCATGTTTAGTGTTATATGGAGATTGTAGTCCATCCCGGGGGGAGGGGGCGGAGCTTGGACTACTTTACAACACACACAGGGACCACGGGGAACAGACGTAGTCACCCCTCCAGAAGGAAGGACGGTGTCAGAGATGATTGGAGGATCTCCAGCCGAGTGATACACAAATCAGATACATTGTTGCTCGGAGTTCGGGGACTCGGAGGGATTTCACTGATTGTGTCATCTCTGAGCCGGCATCTCAGTCCAGGAAGTGGATGGTGCCCCTGGGTGATGCCTGAACAAAGATGGCGCTGTGTCGGATGATATCTGGACCAATTGCTTCATTTCTCACATTTGATAAATACAGAAACATGCAGAATTTTCACATGGGCCCTGTGTGATGATGAGGGACGTACATAGATCATCCAAGCTTTATACCGATCCTTCAGATTGTACAACACGGCCGGCTCGTTCAGGTGAGTCAACATCGCCATGTCCTCGATCTTATCGAACTTGGGCGGATTCATGGGGAAGACATTCTCAGAT